CATAAATGTGTAAACCTGTGAAAGGTAAAGCTGCGTCAAAGCCCGCCTGCTGAAGCGCCTGGCTCACTCCAGCCTTCCCTTGCTGCAGCCCTACCTGCTCCTGCTGCCTGCGGCACTGCCCGCGTCCGAGACCGCATGCCCAGAGTGCCGCGCTGCCATCGTCCCCTTTGTGTCAGCTGAAGGGTCTGGACCCTCCTTGGGTGGCGTTTTAACTGCCTGTACGTGCACCTTCACTGCGTGTCTGCAGGCAAGCTCCACTGACAGCAGACGGCACCAATGTCTGTCATGTCACCCTCTAAACTCTCTTCTCCCTTTGAATCATAGAATCATAGAATCATTAAGGTTGGAAAAGACCTCTAAGATCATCAAGTCCAACCGTTAACCCAACACCCCCATGCCCACTAAACCATGTCCCTAAGCGCCTCATCTACACGTCTTTTAAATACTTCCAGGGATGGTGACTCCACCACTTCCCTGGGCAGCCTGTTCCAAGGCCTGACCACTCTTTCATTTATATTGTCTTAAAAAATAGTGGGGCATGCCCTTTCCACTAAAGCACTTGTTCCTGTACTAGATGCTTTCTATAGCCACCTTCTTCTCCCACCCATCCATGCCCCATGAAGGGCCTCTTTTTATATTGTTGAAGGTCTGTATATAATGTGCACACATAGACATGGACACACACATTTACAGGCTTCTCGGTGTTTTTATAGACAGCTCTGCATTTTCTGAGAGACAGCCATCACCTTTGTTGTCCAGCCTGCTCTCCAACCTGCCAGCTCGTTGCTGAAGCACGAGCACAGAACCCCAGACCGGCTGCGGTTGGCAGGGACCTCTGGAGATCCCCCAGTCCAAGCCCCTGCTCAAGCAGGGTCAGCCAGAGCTGGTTGTGCAGGACCACGTCCAGTCAGGTTTTGAAAATCTCCATGGTGGAAGAGTCCACCACCTCTCTGGGCAACCTGTGCCAGTGCTTGACCATCCTCACAGTGAAAATGTGTTTTAAATGGAACTTCTTCTATTTCTTTTTTTTTTTGTGCCCATTGCCTCTTGTGCTTTCACTGGTTGTCACTGAGAAGAGTCTGGCTCTACTTTCCACCTTCCCTTCAGGTATTTATACAGAGAGATGTGAACACCCCGAGCCTTCTCTTCTCCAGGCTGAACAGTCCCAGCTCTCCCAGCCTCTCCTCTCGGGAGAGATGCTCCAGTCCCTTCATCACCTTTGTGGCCCTTCACTGGACTCTCTCCTGTACTGGGGAGCCCAGCGCTGGACCCAGCGCTCCAGCTGTGGCCTCACCAATGCTGAGTAGAGGGGAAGGATAACCTCCC